GACAGATAGAAAGATATAGAAACAAGGATAGACAGATAGAAAGATATAGAAACAAGGATGGACAGATAGAAAGATATAGAAACAAGGATAGACAGATAGAAAGATATAGAAACAAGGATAGACAGATAGAAAGATATAGAAACAAGGATAGACAGATATAAAGATATAAAGATATAGAAACAAGGATAGGCATGACTGCAAGGATATAACCAGGAAAAGTTTGGACTATAGAAGGCTCAACTTACAAAGAAAAATATTATTTATTAGACTTTTAGAAATTATTAAAATAAATATTTTGAGTTTAGCTGCGGCGAGAAATGAGCACGTGCTAGCCAAACATCCTTGACCATTGGGTTATATTGAAGTCAGGGAGGGAGTAAGGATGGGCGCGTTACTGACGGCCAATGATCGGGCAGTTAACGATCGGTAATACTAACGATCGTTCATTCAAAGGTTATTGTGAAAGTAAAAAACGTTCTTCCTTAGAACGAAAGTAATTCTTGACGAACATTTTGCTTATGTAGAATTTGCGAGGTTACGAAACAAAATATAGTTTTAACCAAGTTAAATCGTTAATTCTATGTTGATTTAAAAACAAATCTGGGTTTAAAAAGTGAGATCGTGCCCAGCTCTAATAAGGAGCAAGAACAGGAGCAGGTTGAGGTTGAGGTTTGGGCTCAGGTTTAGGTTAGAGCTCAAGTTCCACTGTTTTTGCAAGTGCTAACTCCACGACGGACCAGTGCAATTAAACTTAAATAAAACTTTGAAATCTGATATAGCCCCCGAGCCGTGGACGGGATAAGTTAAAGAGAAAATGAAAACATGAGGATGGGGGGGGGGAGTAAAATGTAAGTTTATAGACTAGTTATTCATTTTAACCGAAGAAGAATCAATGTATAGGTATAGTTCGCTTAGTGAAATGGTTCCATGTACACTGCATAATTGCGATATTTAATGTTCAATCAATGGGTTAAAAAATATTTCATATCAATAATTATATTTGCATGCTTCAAAAAGAATTCATGTCCATCTAGAATTCACTAGAATTCACTAGAAATCCTTCCTGCCAAGTTATAAATAGTTTCCTGCCAACTAAAACAACATTTCCTGCCCATGATAAAACTATAAAAAGCTACCTGTCTGCCATCTCTGCATGTTCC